CATCTTATTTGTTTTATTTTTGTTAGTAGAATTGGAATTGGGACTTGTAGTCCTCCATTATAATTAGACTAATTTATTTTGATTTGGTAGTTTGAATAGTTTTGTTGTGATAAATTAAGTACTTCATATACCTAGGTTTAGTTTACTAAAATAATTATAGTTTAAGTTAGTTTTGATTGTTTGTTAAAATTTAATGATGAATATTAAGTTTGTGATTGAACAAATTAATTTTTGAATTAGTTATGAAAATTTTTCTTAAAATTTAATAAATTTTTTTTGTTTGCTGATTTTGTATATTGCTCATGTATATGAATTGCATATTTAATTGGTATTCTATTAATAAAATTATATTTTTGTGAATATTTTAAATTTTAATATTAATATAGTTTAGAATGCCTCCCATTGAAGAAGATGTCTAGCTCCGCCCTGCAGAGTAGAGGCCTCATCATATACTTAACTTGTTTTATATTTTTACTTTAACCATGAAAGTCTGGTTCTTCTGTATTAGGAACAAGTAAGCTCAAAACTGGTAGCTTATATTACACTGTGCTTTGTGCATAACACGTACAACTTAAATCAAACTGAGCCTTGTGCCTAACAAGTTTAGCTGTACACCAGGCTGCAAATCCTTCATCTTTATCTATATGTGGAGTGCGTGTTTGTGAAGTATATAAATATTTATATTACACTTTTTTTAACAACTTCAAATTTTAGATGTGTTAGAGCATTTTTGGTCTGTATCGTATCAATGAAAGAATTAGTCGAAGTGCATGTAAATTAACTCGGACACTCCTGACGTTTAAACCAAAAAAAGCAAACAAACAATAATTTTAAATTTCTTTATTGGCTCAGAAAGTGATTCATGAATTTCAATTGCTTTACAAGCTTAGCAATTGACTTTAAAAATGTGAGGCACGTTTGACTGATATTCTAAAAAAGTAAATCAATTAGAGATAAATTAATACGCATATAATAACGTATACATTAGGGAAAAAATGCCCTCAAAAGAGGCATCATATACTTAACTTGTCTTATATTATTGCTTTTTCCATGAAAAGATGGTTCTTTAGTATATTCTTCATTTCAGAATAATCCAAATGAACAATAATGTAGTAAAAGAACCATACTTTCATGGCTAAAGTAACAACTTAAAATAAGTTAGGTATCTATTCCTCTTTTTAACACTATTTTTTCTCCGTAATCTGTACTCTTTTTTTTTCACATACAATTTATCATTGGTAATCTCAAAAAAATATTGGGTGTAACGGTGATATCAACATTCAATAAAAAAAAAATTGTTATATTATGCAAAGTCGCGACTGATGATTTTCAATTCATGCATTCAAGAATAAAAATGATTTTCAATTGCTTTACAAGCTTAGCAAGTGACTCTAAAAATGTGACACATGTTTGACTGATATTCCAAAAAAGTAAATCAATTAGAGATAAATTAATATAGGCGCATATAATAAAGTATACACCAGGGAAAAAATGCCCTCAAAAGAGGCATCATATACTTAACTTGTCTTATATTGTTACTTTGTTCATGAAAATATGGTTCTTTAGTAAGAATCATTATCGAGTCCTTCGCCCAAGTGGAAGAAGAGTTGAAAGATTCATATGATTCACTTGATCCTATGTGGCAAAGTGACAATGAACGGTTCTTGAAGCTGATGCTTATTGATGGCTGTTTCACGCTGGAAATTTTCCGGCCAGCCATTGAAACTCCGGGCGATTATCACTCTGACGATCTGATTTTCGGCAATCACGGGAAGCTCTATATCTGGCCGTTTATCAGACAGGACATGTTGCTGCTTGAAAATCAACTGCCCATGCTTGTTCTTGACAAGCTTCTGGCTATTAGTAAGGTAAATCCAGTTTTTGTTTGTAAATTTCTTTTTCATATATATATATATATATACACTTACAATGATGGGATAGTTTTGAAAGTTTTTTTTTTTTTTTGCTCATATTTAGGTATTACATCATAAGTTTATAATAAAAAATTATTAGTAATTTGGATGTTGTTAGAGATCACATAAAAACACATTTAATATTTCAGATATCAAAATAATGAAATTGAAATATAAAAGACTCAAATAAGAAAAATTTCATAATTTTGGAGATTTCCAGGGTAATTAACCTTAAATTTTAACGAGTAATAGAGTTTATTGTCAATCTAATGACAACAAGACAAAAATTAAGTTCACATAGCATTGTTCGATTCATAATGAAACTTCTTTTTATGTAGAGTTATTGTTTTTTATTTTACAAGTTCTTCATCCATATGAAGACGATATATATTATCTTGTGTCTTTAATATTCAATTGTCCTTGTAAAATTTTTGGAACAACATTTCGAATTTTCATACAAAATTATTGGTTCATTTGCTTAGTTTTGGTAAGAAAGAAAGTAAAATTACCATAATTCATGTAGAGACGTGAGGAGTTTATGAACGACCTCATACTGCAATTCTATAATTCTAAAGCTTGTCAGCAAGGAATGGGAAAATGCTTGCACGTACTTGATATATACCGGAAAAACCTGGGCTCCAGTCGAGAGACGACGTCACAAGCTCCAACCTTTTGCACGTAGATTACAAGATGGTTCGTTCGGCGAACCAGTTGTATGATGCTGGTGTGATAATCAAAACATCAGAGAATTCGCACTTTAACTATGACCACCATAACATCTCATTCGAAGGAGGGGTCCTACGTCTCCCCATATTCATTATTTGAATTGATGAATGCCCCGATGACATTCATGAATCTCATGCATAGGGTGTTCCAACTCTATTTAGATTAGTTTATCGTGGTCTTTGTTGATGACATCTTATTCTACTCTAAGTTCAAGGAGGAGCATAAGGGTCACTTGAGAATTGTTCTCTAGACTTTGAGAGACCATCAATTGTATGCCAAGTTCAATAAATGTAAATTATGGCTGACGGAGGTGAAATTCTTGGGACACGTGGTGCTGGCTTTGGGTGTATCTGTAGACCTAGAGAAAATTGAGATAGTTATGAGTTGGGAGAGGCCGACGTTAGTCTTTGAGATACACAATTTCTTGGGATTGGTAGGATGCTGCAGGAGGTTTATTGAGGATTTCTCCAAACTAGCTACACCTATGATGAGATTGACCAGAAAGGAGGTCAAATTTCAGTGGGATGACTCGTGTGAGAAGGCATTTCAGGAGTTGAAGAGGAGGCTTACTTTAGCTTCTATTCTGATAGTTCTAAAGAGGGGACAAAGGTACACAATGTATTGTGATGCCTCTAAGGATAGACTAGGGTGTGTTTTGATGCAGTCAGGGAAGGTGGTAGCTTATGATTCTCGATAGTTGAAGAACTACAAGTAGAACTACCCCACACATGACATAGAGTTGGCGTCCTTTGTCTTTTCCTTGAAGGCATGACGCTACTATCTATATTGAGGGTAGTTTGAGGTATTTTCAGACCTTAAAAGTCTGAAGTATATTTTTACGCAGCGAGACCTCAATATAAGGCAGCACAGGTGGATGGAGTACCTGGAGGATTTGACTTCACTTTGCATTACCATCTTGATAAGGCAAACGTGGTGGCTGATGCACTCAGCTGAAAGTCATGGAGACTCTTGGCTAGTGTGGCTTCCCGAAAGTGGCAGATGCCCTAGATTGTGGGCCAGTTCAGGTTACATTAACTAGGTTTGACCTAGGGCACTTTAGGGAGTTTGGTGGCTACGCCTTTTCTACTCTGTAGGGTGATCGAGTCTTAGAGGTAGAACATAGAGATATTGTCCATTAGGGATTGGGTACAGTCGGGTACAGGTGATGAGGGCTGAGCCATTCATACAGACGGGAGTCTTCGGTTTAGAAGAAGGATTTTGATTTTCCAGTCTGTGAATTTACTGTACATCCAGGTGGACACGAAGATGTACCGTGATCTTCGCAGCCTAGTACTATTGGAGTGGAATGAAGAGTTACGTTGGGTATTTTGTTAGTCGATGTCTCACGTGTCAACAGGTCAAGACTGAGCACCAGAGACCAGTAGGATTGCTCCAGCCTTTGGAGGTGATAGAGTGGAAACGGGAGCACATCACGGTGGATTTTGTGACCCACTTGCCATGAACATCGTGGGGGCATGACACAGTATGTGTGATAGTGGACTGGCTTATGAAGTTGGCACACTTCTTGGCAATGCAGATGACCTTCACACTAAAGAAATTCTCCAGATTGTATATACATGAGATAGTCCGATTACACGGGGTACCCATATCTATAGTATCTGAATGGGATCTCACGTTCACAACCCATTTTTGACAGAGTTTCCAGCGGGCTATGGGCACACAGTTGATGATGAGCACGACTTTTCATCGTCAGACCGATGGTCAATCAAAAAAGACCATCTAGATTTTAGAGGACATGCTACAGGTATGTGTCCTTAATCTCAAAGGTAGTTAGGAAGAGCACTTACCCTTAGTAGAGTTTGACTACAATAATAGTTATCAAGCGAGCATACATATAACCCCTTATGAGGCAATCTATGGGAGGTCGTGCCGTTCTTTGATTTGTTCGGCGGAGGTTGGAGTTATAGGTCTAAATTTGATTAGAGACACCTCAGAGAAGATGGACTTGATACGGAAGCGTCTTCTCACAGCTCAGAGCCAGCAGAAAAGCTACGCCGATAGATGACGATGACCTATAGAGTTTGAGGTCGGAGGTCATGTCTTCTTGAAGGTGATGTTCAAGAGAGGAGTG